TCACAACCACATTTTGCCTTGCTAGTACGCCAGTATTTAAATGAACATTTTCCTCATCGGTGGATTGGCCGTGGGAACGAATTTAGTTGGCCACCAAAAAGTCCAGACTTAAACCCTCTGAACTTCTAAGTGTAGTCAAACTTGAAGTATGTGGTGTATCGTCAAGAAATTACTTCCGTTGAGGAATTGCGGCAGAAAATACAAGTAACCGCGAATACGTTTAAAAATAATAGGGACATTTTGTTTAATATTCAGAGACATTTAAGAGTGTATAATAAAATGTATTGAGGTAGCTGGTGGAAACTTCCAGCATTTAATTTATGGTTTGTTATTATTACTATTATCAATAATACTTATTGTTATTTTCATCTTTTGAGGATAAAAAATCACCACAAAATACATTGAAACTTTTAAATGCAAATGACTCAGAAACCGATAAAGTTAGGCGACTTAAACAAGAGTACATCTTTTATGTAGAATTGAACGTTCTTTTAGATTTTTAGCTTTTTTAAGCATAGCTCAACAGATAAAATAAATATGTTCTGATTTACCTAAATAATACGGTGAAACTAGCGCCCTCTAGGAGCAACATCAAAATAAGCTTCAAATTCGTAATTCTCATACCAAAAAACCCAACACTACCAATTTTCAGAGTCATACTATCAAAACTTTCTGAATGATTGAGAAATTTCAGAATAAAATTTAAACTTTGAACACCCTGTATTTCTTAAACCAGCAACATTGGTATGATGGGCTCAAACATAATAATTTGGTGTCTAGTATCTCTAGTTTACTGTTGACCCATTCTTTCTGACTCACCCTGTATATGGTGACTTTAAAATAACACGTCATGTCATGTCATAGAAAAGCAATCTATATTCACTAAATTATTTTTCAGTAGTTTCGCTGCCTAACAGTTGATTAAAGAAATATATTAACAGTTAGTAACGTATCTACGTACCCATGTTAGTTAATATTTAATAAATCATGTACAAAATTTTATTTTTTTTAGAAACAATAGAATGTTCGGCGTTTCAACCACAGTGATATCAAAAAAGTATGGTGACTTTAAAAATAATACGTCGCTAATTTATACAAAAACAGTATCTTTTTGTAAGTTATTTTCTATAACTTCGCACAATATATTTAATTTATTTGAAATTAAAATTAAAATTTAAATTTAAATACAACTGGCAACGCCGATGGTGTAGGAATACAACTCAATATGCTAATTCTGGGTGTCTTCATTTACGCCGTCAAATTGCAGTTTAAAAAACTACTTATTATAACTAGACTATTTATTTGATTAAAAAAAAGAATTCATATTCAAGGGAAACACGTACTATTACCAAAAAAACTCACCCCTACTTAAAGTTACACCTTGTATATGTTTTATACTTTTTGCATTTATTGAAAAACTTTGCTTCTGTTTTTATATTTTTTATAATATCAGAAGTAAACCACGGAGGGTATTTATGTTTTAAAGGTTTATGTTCGTCACATATTGTGTGCCTAATACTGATTTAACACAAATTCAGTGTCATTAAATTCAACTAAAAATTGCCTATCAGTAAAAGTAATGATTCATATAATAACAAATATTGTTTTTTTGAAATTATATTTGTGGTTCTCGTTAGTTTTCATGGTGCGTTTTTTTATTTCATGACGAATATCTTGAAGTAGTGGGTTTACTCAATAAAGCATGTTTTTATGCGGTAACCCCACAAAAATATATTCAGAGAATTAAAATCAGGGCTACTTGCACGTCACTGAATATTGCCAAATCTACATATCCAAAAGTTAAAAATTGTGTTCAGTCGGGATAATATCAAAAATGTTATTTCACAATTACAGTTGTTATCAACATTAGGTTTTAAATTTAAATTTTTGAGCCTATATTACTTGGCAACAGGACGGAGCTCCTCCGTATAAGAAATATATTGAATACTACTTATAAGTTTTACAATTAGTTAGGCATATTTGATAATATCCAATGGTCTGCAAACGGTCCTGATTTAAGTCTATGGATACATTTTTGTGGGGTTATCTTAAAATAAAAAATAAACTAATACTAAATAAAAGTAAAAACAACAAGTACATTCAAATCCAATTATAGGTTGTACATAGAACAAACTGAAGACCAATTTAACCACATATTTGTAACATTAATAAAATTTCTCACGTAACAAATTTGATTAATGTACTGTATACTTGCTTATTTTCAATTTTCACATTTTAAAAATATATTAAAAACTACTCAAGGTTGGGTAGTCATTCGAAGCCCACTGTTGTGCAATTTCAAATAACTTCTAAGGCTAATTAATTATAATTTAAAAGTTGTGTTTAGTACATGAAATATGTAAACAAATTGAATTTATTATATGAAATGAAGTAGAAGTGAAAAACAAAATTGTATTATTATTTTTATGGTACAACTTGTAACTGACATCACAAGGTGTCCTATAAACCTATTAAACAAATCAGGTCATTATTTCCATTTAACCTTAAAGTATCTATTACAATGTGAACGAAGAAATAATCCAAAAAGAGCACGCCATTAATCAAAGTTAACAATAAGTGCTGGTATCGAATAAATCGATTTAGTAAAATTAATAACATCCATAGCGTAACAATTACTTTTTTTGCTCAGTATATTTCACTTTTCATTTTTAAATTTAAACATATGTTCCCAAGCATTGTACTTGTACAAGGATATTCCCAGGAATTTGATTTGAGGCCAAATAAAAATGGAAGTAGAATAGAACATACAAGAAAGCATTTAAACTGGATCCACCTACAATGGTACAAAGGGAACTAAGCTACTGTCACCTTTCAATTCTCGAACAATAATAAACTTACTGCTTTGGAAATGTAACTGGTAGTTGCATGTACAAGATAAATATAAAGTTGCTGTGCGTCACAAAAACATACCTAATACCCATTAAATGACTGGATTCGAAGTTCACTTTTACGAACGGAGAAAAGATGGATAATTAAAGCAATCAGACTTTTTATTGTATGTTTTTATATATGTTTACATGGCTCTTAAGTACGTTTGGATAATATTAAATTTTCTGAAAAATACCTGTAACATCTCAGCAAATGTTTCAAAAGATGTTTGAACATGATTTTAAAATTGTCAGTTTTAGAGAATCTATAGAACTTTTATTGCAAATGCAATATTAAATACAATACTGTAGTAATTAGTTTGTAGTATAAGAACCCTAGGTTCGACAAAAAATAAGTAAACGTAGTTGTGGCCAAAAATATGTGATCGTCATAAGGAATCCCTACGTTGTGGGTATACATTTTTAATTGACCGGAAGGCACTGGCTACTAACTTTGTAGAGGGGATGTATGGTTTAATTATATAAAACAAAAGCAGAGTAAATACACCTAATCTTTATTTACATACAATTCAAATTAAACATGTGACAAATAGAAAGAACAACAAAACATTAACAACCATTAAACATAAAAGGAGAGTGCCAGGCTCACCTAGAGCTCCTGCGGGGAAAGAGCATGGCAGAGAAACCCACGATCGTTGCTCTTACCACCCAAATATAAATACAAAACAACCGCTAACCAAAGGTATAAATTAAGAACCTTTGCTAATGATAAATAAGACCTGTCTCATTTAATGTGTCACTAAATGTCATCTGTTACCTCATATTAGTCATACACACTTCCAAGTAAAACTGAAGAGGTTTGGTGTTAGTTAGCCGGCAGAGCCGGAAGGTACTGGAGTCCCATACGGGAGGCAATCCAGCTATAGTTGAGATTTCGGAAGATCCTTCATAACACTGGAGTCCCATACGGGAGGCAATCGAGCTTAATCCAGATTCGTTCCGCACGGGCGAAAATGTTAGTAAACTCAACAAGGCTCGTATAGACGTATGACATAAAGTGAGCACAAGAAATCAAAGAACAACTTAATCATGATAAAACAAGTTAAATGTGAAACAAAGAGGTCGTTAATGCAATATCTGGGCAGTCACGACAATATACATATTTTAACATGTAATAAATAATGAGCAATCTATAATAATAATTGTAACAATTTTATCTTAGAAAAATATACGCCCCTGAGCGTAAGACAATGAAGGCTAAACATATACAGAATTATTATCATGAAACATCTATATTTTACGTATAACGTAATCGTGGCAAAAACAAGTTAGATGTGAAACAAAGAAGTCGTTATTGTAATGTCTGGCAATCAGGACAATACATATATTTTTAACATGAAATAAATAATGGGCAAACTTTAAGTATAATTATAACAATTTTACCTTGGAAAAATATATGCCCTTGAGCATAAAGCAATGGAAGCTAAACTTACAAAGAATTATTATCATGAAACATCTATAATCATCACAATCATAAGATTATATAGAACAATTAACAACAAAGTACTTAAAGAATATTACCTGCTAACTAATAACACTTTAAACAATTAACTTTTCACTACTTTGACACACTGCCCGCCGATCGTCTTGCTACCTATCTGCACACTGTTCTCACTTCAACTGCCTATCTTCAACTATTTAGGCTTCCTTCCAGAATTTCCTACCTAAGTGCCTGTTTTTTGTGCTTCCTTCTATCGACCGTTAATATTACTTTTTCATTGTTATACAACACCTATGTAACAGGTGACGTCGAAATTGATAAGATAAGTACGGTTTTGCACAAGTTTTAAAAAATCAGTGGCGTAGAAATTTGCCTTTAGAAGTTCAAAATATTTGCGTCTACTATTTATTTAGTTTTTTGGTGATTATATTTTGTTTACAATTACATTTAGATTTCGTTAACTGTAAAACAAGTTTATATTAAAAAACTGAATTCCTCGAAATCGGTTCGATTTACCATGATAGATAGAAATTTTTTTTTTTTAGAATGAGATAAAATTGAAAATTTATTGAGACAATTTAGGAACACCTTGTACAATTCTGATTTTGTTCGCATATGTATGTATTATTAAAAAAATTTCTCATTTTCAGAATATAAGTGTATTCTACATGAACATGAAATGTAGTGCAGTACGATTAACAAATAGGGTGGAATATAATAGACGAAAATTGAATAGAAATATTCAACGGAATATTGAGCCAGTCTATGTAACTAAAGGATGCCATGGGTAAGAAATAAACATAACTTTGACCCCTAAAATAGATACAAATATGATATAATTCAGTGCAATATACAGGATGGCCAAATGAAAACGAAACAGAGCCATTTTCAGGAACTGCGTTAAGATTGTAGAAAAACGCTCAGACCCGTCGATTTTAGATTACAGGGGGACATTCATGACTCCGCCACTTTCACCCCTAAGCAAGGGTAAGCAACACCCCAAAATATTTAAATGGCATTGGGGGGTTGAGTAATATTTCTTTTGAAAGCTCTTACAATTTTCTTTTTGACATACTTAAATTTTATAATTCCGCCCAATACTTATTAAGAATTTTGATTTTAAAGTTGAATCTTATGTACAAACAATTAATAACGGTAAAGATGTCAGTCATTCGAGTTAAGTACGCCAATGGTATAAATTTAGTATTTCTTGCGTTACATTGGTTTTTGGCGATTTGTTATCACTTTCGTAAAAAAAAACAGAATTGCAAAAAACAAAAATGAATGCTATACACACACAATGAACGTAAAATTAGTGGATTCCAAATTATTTTCTAGTATTATTGGAAGCGTTGGTTGGTAGTTTATTTAATTTTGTTTTTGAAAATTAAACACTATGGTTTATTCCATTGCGGAAAGCAAGCTTTACTTTATGAACAATAAATGTGCTAATAGAACAGCTCAGCTATTTAATGAACAACATCAAGATCGACATGTCAGGAGGAAGTATGTTCTAGAGTTAGTAAAAAAATTTCAAGAGACAGGGAACGTAGCCAATAAAAAACGAGAAATTGAAAAACCTATAGTTAATGAAGCTAGTGAAGTTGCAGTTTTGGGACAAGTTCATCTTGATCCTACATTAAGTACGAGGCAGCTGGCATCTGTGTCTGGGATCAATCGAACTAGCATACAAACCATTTTGAAGAAGAATAAATTCCATCCATACAAAATACATTTAGTCCAGGAACTTCATGAGGATGATTATGACCGCCGTTTGCAATTTTGCGAAATAATGAGTGAGCGAGCAGGGAACGATCCACAGTTCCTTTTTAACATCTGTTTTTCTGATGAATGCAGTTTTTTCTTGAACGGGACGGTAAATCGTCACAATTGCCGCTATTGGTCCGATTCAAACCCAAGAGTTTTTCACGAGGTGCATACACAGCAACCGGAAAAATTAAATGTATGGGCTGGAATTTTCGGTGACCGGCTGGTGGGTCCTTTTTTTCTACCTGGTAATTTGACTGGCCAAATGTATTTGCAATTACTGGAAGACGCTATTGACCCTGCCTTGACTGATATTATTGAAAATGTTCCAGAGTATGATGAAGATCATTTGATTTTTCAACAGGACGGTGCTCCTCCGCATTATGCGTTAATTGTCCGTCAGTATTTGGACCAACGTTTTCTACGGAATTGGATTGGGAGAAGAGGCAGCATTGAGTGGCCTCCACGATCACCGGATTTATCGCCCCTTGATTTCTTTTTGTGGGGATACCTAAAAAGTAAAATCTATAAAACACAGCCAGCGTCGCTGGAAGATTTGCGTCAAAGAATCGTCGACGAATGCCGTCGAATCACTCCGGAAATGCTTCGGAATGTGCGCGAACGTTTCGAACAAAATCTAGTATGGAAGCGGGTAGTCATCAGTTTGAACATTTAATCAACTAAGTAATAAGTAAGCAACTAAACATAATTTAAATTTTAAAATGTAGGTAATTTTTTTTCAAAATATTGGGAGGAATTATAAAATTTAGTCTGTTGTAAAGAGAACTGTAAGAGCTTTCAAAAGAAATATTACTCAACCCACAATGCCATTTAAATATTTTGGGGTGATGCTTATCCTTGCTTGGGGGTGAAAGTGGCGAAGTCAAAAATATCAGCAAAGAATGTCCCCCTTTAACCTAAAATCGACGGGTTTGAGCGTTTTTCTACAATTTTGACGCAGTTCCTGAAAATGGCTCTGTTTCGTTTTCCTTTGGCCATCCTGTATTTGTGGAAAACTGTTAGCAAGCCAATTATATTATATTAACAATAGTTTAGTAAAAAATTTACATTCATTCGACATTTATATATGATTGTAAGAAAGATATTTTTTTATTCGTTAAATAAAAATTAACAGATTGAAAGCAAAAAAAAAATATTAGTAGACATTTTATTGCACTTTATGACGGGAAAGGGTATGTAGAATGATAATATCAAAAAACTTACTTGAATGAAGTGACGCTAAGTTGGCAAGTTGCAAACATATATTTTTTAATGTATTTGATTAAAAACTAACAATTAAAATTTATTATTGTATGAAAAGCATAGTGATGCCAACACAAAAGTGTAATGTATGTTATGAATAAAATATGTAGGTACATAACAAATAAAAGGCTGCTATTTTTCTTTTTATCAATTTTAATTGAACTTGGCAGATTAGATGATAAGTTTATTTATGATAATAATTTCTTAATTTAAGTTTAATTTTGTGAATGATTTTTTAATTTAAATTATTTTTGGCAATCACTTATCAATTTAAGTTTAATACTGATAATCACGTTTTAATAACCATTTTTATACAAATGTTTCTATATAAATATCTGTACACATAAAATTAAAGTGTCTGTCAGTATAGAAGCAGGATAATTGTTAGTTTTAATTGTTTTTTAGAACAATTGAAAATGTTAATTGCCAGTTGATTTAGTTGCAAGATACAATTAACATAGATTAATCCAAATAAATTAATTACAACCTGCAATTAATAGTTCAATTACAATTAATTTTAATAGCAATTAAATTAATAGCAATTACTTTTTTAATCAATTAATTAATTGATTGAAAATTTAATTGATTAATCCCTAACCCTGCTTCAGGTATTTGTTAATTAATTTCGTTCGTTTTTTTGCAACAAATTGTTTAACTACTAAATGTTAATTTTAGAAGTTAATATCGTACATTACAACTAACAAAGTAGGACGTACACACAACGTTTAAACAAATTGTCCCAGTGCAGGCAAAAGCCGCTCGGGAATTTGCTCTTTTTGCATTAAACAGAGCTTATTTTTACGATAATTAAAAAAGAAGAAGCCACCTACGCTTCTTTGTTCCCAAGATAGCTTTTTTTTATAACGTTAGGTAATTGTTAATTAACTATTGAACGTATCGGACAATAAAGGAACTTTGTTTTAAGAACGTTTTTCATTAATAGTTCATGTAATATGGACCATTTTTTTATAAAAACTCTGTCAGTTAATAATGAAGAAATAAACTCATATATTTTTAATTATGATATAACCGATCACTTACCTATAGCCATTTCAGTTGGTTTAAGAAAATTGCTGAAAGATAAAATTCAATATAAAAAAAAATATACCAATTATCAAACCTTGAAATCAGAACTAAGGGACGAAAAATGGGAAAGAGTTTATAATGAAAATAATATAAATGTAATTACTGAAACATTTATTAATACTCTCAAATACTATATTTCTAAAAACACTAAAGTAATTAAAATCCCTGCTACACAAATAAAACGTAAACCTTGGATAACAACTGCTCTTGTGCAATCTATAAATGTAAAAAATCAAATATATAAACAACTCCAAATAAATAAAAATGACAAAAACCTAGAGAATCGATATAAAACATACAAGAATAAACTAAATATACTGATAACAAAAGCAAAAAGAAATTATTTTAAAATACTTATTGAAAGAAATAAAAGCTCTTCCAAATTATTATGGGAAACCATTAAAAAGATATGCAATAGGACCAAACCTGAAACAAAAATAAGTGAAATCAAAAGTAACAATGATGAAAAAATAGTGGATAAATACGAAATGTCAAACTATTTTAATTCATATTATAGTAAGTTGGGGGAGAATTATGCAAATAAAATCAAAGAAGTAAAAAATATTCATAATGTAAATAATGTCTTGGAAAATACTATGTATTTACATCAAACAAATTATGAAGAAGTAAAATCACTGATTAAACAATTAAAATTAAAAAAATCTCCAGGTCATGATGGAATTCGCGCAGAAACATTAAAGCAAATATCAGATGAAATTGCTGTTCCATTAACTTTTATAATAAATAGTTGTTTTGAAGCTGGTTGTTTTCCAAACATATTAAAAATTGGTATTATCAAACCTCTATTTAAAGGTGGAGACAAAATGGACGTCATTAATTATAGACCTGTGTCTTTAATCTCTAATATAGCTAAGATTTTTGAAAAAATTATAAAAAAGCGAATATTAAAATTCTTGGAAAAATATAAATTGATTTCAGATCAGCAGTATGGTTTCAGAGAGGGAAAATCAACGGAAGATGCCATTTATAAGTTAACATCGTATATCTATAGCGCTCTTGATAAAAAGAAACCTGCATTGTGCATCTTCGTTGACCTCTCCAAGGCATTCGATACCGTTAGCCATAAAATCCTCCTAGAAAAATTTATGTATTATGGACTTAGAGGGAGAATATATAATTTACTGAAAAGCTATTTAAGTAACCGTAACCAACAAGTAAATATTGATGATGTAATGAGTGAGCTAGGTACCGTTACCTATGGAGTTCCACAGGGAACGGTATTGGGTCCACTTTTATTCACAATATATATAAATGACCTACTTACCATTAACACAAATGGGTCCATATTAAGTTTTGCGGATGACACTGCAGTGTGGTACGAATCTAATTCTTGGCCAGATCTAAAAATAAAAGCAGAAGAAGGTTTTAAAAATGTAAAAATATGGTTTCAGCAAAATAAACTTACATTGAATGTAGAGAAAACTAAATATCTCCCATTTACGTCCTACGCGACAGGTTTACCTAGTATGGGTCCATTGACAATTGACGAGAATACAGAAATACCGGAAAAAGATTCAATAAAATATCTAGGAATAATTATAGATAGACATGCAAGGTGGAAATTACAAACTGCAAATATTGTTAAAAAAATTAGAGGATTATTGCCTCGTTTTAAATATTTAAGAGATTTTTTGGACATAGACCACCTAA